TAAATTCATAACTTGACCCCCCAAACTTATGTAAAATATTCTGAGCTAATTTTTATTGCACTCATTTAAGAAATAAAACAAGGTATTAGACGTTTAATACTTACTATTTGCCACTGCTTTTTTGCCTGAGGAAAAAAAAATAAGAAAAATACAAGCTGAACAATGACACTAAAAAATTTTATTTCCTATTTACTTTTTGCAGAGAAAATTAGCTTATACTTCTTATGATTTGCTAATTTAGCTCAAACAAGATTTAGTAAGTGCACAAAACATGTACTTTCCATGATACATCTCAGTAAACTTGGTATTGATTTTTAGAAGTTGTTTGTTTTAAATTAATCAAGACTCCATGAATTTAGGAATTGTAGCCGCCAAGACTTCTACTGCAATTCAAAAGAAATGTATACGGATTGTTAGTATTTTACGTAATATATGGATATTTTATATATATACAAAAACGACATACAGATGTAAACCAAAGCGATACGTTTGCTTTAAAATCTTCCATGAAATTAAAGGTTAAAGCAAAAGTTAAAACCTTTTTTTTTTTTTCCCTACCTAACTACTTATATTTATTTAATCTTGTAAGTGCGATGTGAAAGTTTTGGACATGATACACATTATTTGGACAAAGCTGGAAAAATACTGAGGCAATATCACTCAGCTGGTCCCACAGCAAGGGGTTCCTTTCCCTGTTGACTTTGCCTACAGCTTGTAACATTTCACTGGAAAGGGTTTGACTTGGGATTTTTTCAGCATAGCCTAAAGTGAAAAACAGGGCCTTTAAGACACCATGTTTCTTTCTCTAAGAAAGCAATCCAATGTCAAGAAATAACACACATTTGCACATTCAGTGTGCATTTTGAGGTGCACCAACCCAAAATACACTTGCACAAATTCACATGAGAAAACCTTTTAAAAAGGGGTGTTTTTTTTCAGATCTTGAGCAAGTCAGATGTGCATTTTTAAAACCAGTTCCTACATTTCCTGATCTTCATAATGTAGTCACAGTTACACTGGTATTTGAGTATTTTTATTACTGTAACCTTCTACAATGGGCAAGTTAAAACTTCTAAATTTTTATGGCAAGGACCTGGCCCTAAGTAAGAACGTTAATTTCTTTTTTGCTGACTGATTTGTTACAGTTATTGTCTTCTATAAACCTTATCTATAAGCTAATGAGGACTGCAATGTGTAACTTACCCCCATATGAAATTTTGTAATAGGCATAAGCTGTTAACGCCACACCAACCCATATTTCTTGATATACAGTAGTGAAGTAGAATTTCATGGCTCTCCATGACTTTGGAATCATGGTCTGCACCATCTGAAAATTATAAAAAGTTTTGTCATGCTAAGTTTTGCAACTGTATTCTTAACCTGCTGGATTTTTAATATATATACAGACGCAGATATATATCAATATATCTGTCTTTATGTATACACACACAGAGTCCTGATACATACCCACAGCAGTTCACAGGTAAAAAAATAATATCCCCCAAACACACAAAAGTACTTATTCCAAAGAAAACAATGAAAATTCAGAGTTAAAGTTACAATTTATGGGCTAACACAATACCGGAAAAAAAATAAATTACAGCTGATGAAAGGCTTCGAAGATGAGTCAACAGAGCATTTATAGAGTAGCAATTCCTCTCTCTATCAGTGACTCTGACTCTATCAGAGCTTTTTTTAATGTTTCCAGATTCCCTCAGGAGAAAAGTCTCATTCCAGACAAGCCAGAGAGGCTCCTTCCTCACACTACCAATTTAGCTTCCCTCCCTCGAAGCTGTCTCTTCCAGCATGGTAATTTCTACTCAAAACAGCAAAATATATGATGTTAAGCTAATGAATTCATGCTTTATAATGACTATTTGACTTTCAAAATATGCCCCAAGAACAAGAAGCCTGTCAGTGTTGTGTTTTTTCCTCTCTAAGCAGCTTTGTTAGACAAACAAAAAACTGGATGTTTTAGAATAAAGGGTACCCTAACTCCCATAAATGTTAGTTCACATTTGCACCACGTTGCACTAAAATGCCACATGCTCCACTGCCTTATGCACAGCACTTCACCCAACAGTCACTATTTACACTTATTACAACCCCATAAAGTCAGATATACACACACACAGATAGTATGTGATAAACCAGAGTCCCAGGAAAAAAAAGCAGAGGCAAACTTCTCTGAGGTAATGCTCACTCACTTATGTGCCATTACTAAACGTAAAGAATCCCTGGGCAAAGCCTCAGAGAGAAAAGCACTCAGGCGACAGCCAATGCCAAAACAGCTGGAGAGATCTGGGTGCTTCTTAAACAACGAAAGCAACGCTGAGGCAACTCACCTCTAATTACAGATAAACCCACGTTAATCTTTTATTTGTTTACGGGCAGTCATTTCAATCAAATTTATTACTGTGGCCGGAGTTCCTGAAACAGCGCCGTGCTTTCACCAACACTATCAAGGACACTGCACCTTCCCCTAAATTTCCAGCATTTGTAGTTTCAGATGAACACAGTCACTCTACTACAGCAGAATATCAAGACACAGCAAAAAGAAAGATTTCTACACCACACTACTACAAAACACAGCAACAAGCGGTGCTCTTTCCAGCTACCACCCTGCTAAAGCCCGGCAGAGACCATTCCCCAAGGCCTGGGCGAGACGTCGTCCAGACTATTTTTTTCTGAAATCTACCCACAACAGCGCTGAATTTGCCGTCTCTTTGCCCTCCCCGCCAATACCCCCTTCAGCCGGGGCACTGCCGGCCGCCCGAGGCCCTGACCCTCAGCACTGGTGGGCGGTGGGTAACGGGCGGAGCTCCAGGTGCGCCGGCGCGCCTGCCCTCCCCTTTCCCCCAGTGAACCAACGATACCCCCCCCGCGAGCGCTGCAGGCCCGGTAGGAAGGGGCAGGAACCGCCCTGAAACGCGTTCTGGCTCCGCGGGCGCCCGCACCCAGCGTGGCGGCGGGAGCGCGAAGGTCAGGCCGGGGAACGGGTCCGCTGCGCCGCGGGGCGCGCCGGGAAGGGCGAGCGGGGAGCGGGCACTGCGGCGCCGCCCTATGGCCGCGGAGGACCGGAGCGCTCCGCACCGCGGCGTGCCAGCCCACCGCCTTCTGAATCGCGGGAGGGGTTAGGCGGGAAGGCACGGCAGCGGGGCATCTGGTCCTACCTCCCTGCTCAAACAGGGTCATCCCAGAGCACGTGGCACAGGGTTGCGTCCAGACGGTTTTAGAGTATCTGCAGTGAGCGGGACTCCACACCCTCTGTGGTCAATCTGCTCCAGTGCTCGGTCACTGCACAGTGAAGTTCTTCCTCATGTTCAGGTGGAACTTCCTATGCATCAGTTTCTGCCCGTTGCCTGTTGTCCTGTTGCTCAGCACCACTGAGAAGAGCCCAGCTCCATCTTCTTGGCACCCACCCTTTAGATACTTACAGGCATTGATGAGGTCCCCTCTCAGTTATCTCCTCTCGAGGCTGAACTCTGTCAGCCTTTCCTCATAACAGAGGTGCTCCAGTTTCCTCATCATCTTTGTAGCTCTCCACTGGACCTCCATGTCTCCCTTGAACAGAGGAGCCCAGAACTGGACACATCACTCCAGATGTGACCTCACCAGGCCTGAGCAGGGGGGCAGGATCACCTCCCTGCACCTGCTGGGAATGCTCTTCCTAATGCACCTTGCTGCAGTGTCCTGCCCAACCTGCACCTCAGTCCTGCTTCCCAAGAAGGAGCACAGCAGGTGTCCTGCGCCAAGACAATGCCAGAAAGGGCCTGTCACAAGTCTATGTAGTGTGTCCCTTAGGGAATAGATTGTCCTGGAGGAGCAGGAGGCACCACTGGGCCAGATTCAGCAGGGCTGATGCACCTGCGTGCCTTGTGGGCCATTCCGTCTAGGCACAGGAAAGGGATGGGACAACTGGGATTCTAGAGTAGCACTCAGGTGAGAAGGGGAAATGACCACCCCGGCCTCCCATGGCTGGGAAGGAAAGGCAAAGCTCAGACCCTTTTCTCACGTTAAAATTCTTTAGTGGGATCAGACTGCATTTACTTTCCTACTGAGTGATTTACATAATCTGCAAGTATATAGATTTGCTAAATATGAGCTTTGTCACACAGGGCAAGTCTTCTTGGATCTTACTTGGGGCTTTTTTGCATTTAATAGAGGATCATAACTTATGTCAATGAAATACTGCACATACCTCACCTCCTTTATTTAGAACATTCAAAACCTCTTTACGTTTTTGTGAGGAATATCCCTTTGTTTCTTTAATGTAGGATTTTGGGGGCGATATGTTAAACAACCAGAGGCCGTGATATCTTCATCACTCCATATATATCCCAGATTTGTATTTCCCTACCTGACAGTAACAGCTCTAGAGCAGTCAACCAAGTGACTGCACTGGATTCAGTGTGGAGACCATACATTCCCCAATTACATGGGAGAAAGTAAGGGGCTATCCTCTGTTTGCATTGTTTTGTATTTATCTGATTTAACAAATTACACACAGGTGTTTTCAGTTATTTCAGAAGGGGGAAGACAGGAAAAAAAAAGGGAAAGAAAAAAAAAGGGAAAGAAAAAAAGGGAAAGAAAAAAAAAGTGATACATGTTTATTTTAGTTCTTATTATTCTTCTGAGGAATATTATCCAATAGGGATGGCAAGCTTTAGTGTTCGACCCTCACATATACTTCTGGTCCGCGTGTGTACCTCTTTCACTTACCTATGGCAAGTAAGGCTGTTATAAGTTTTGGGGGGTGGTTTGAGGGAACGCGAGCTGTAAGCACAGTTGGATTGGCTGGGCAGGGAGAGCAGGACCGCTGATAGAGCAGCAGATCAAGGGAGAGCAGACCGCCGGATCGCTCCCGCCCGGCGGCGCCGGCCCCGCCCGGCCCTCAGCTGCTGCTCCACGCGCCGGGGCGGGGCTCGGGCGGAGGCGGGAAGCGGGTGCGCGCGCGTGGGCGGCGAAGGGCCGCGGTGGCGGCGCGAGGCGTTGCGCGGAGCCGCGTGCCGGGACCCGCCCGTCCTCGCCATGCTGCGGAAACTCACCCCGGAGCAGATCCGCGACTGGTTCACCGTCGGCAGCGCCGTCACCGCCGTCGAGCTCTTGGGCGAGGAGGCGCAGGCCGCCCCCCCGTGCACTGGCCCCCGCCACCCCGCACGGGAGCCGTTGACGGCTGCGGGGTGAGTGCGGGGCGCTGCGCTGCTGTAGTTGGTGGTGTCCGTCCCTCCTCTCTGCTGTGTGCCCGTGGCTCCGGGTGTGCCGGGCATTCCCCAGCGTCTGGGCAGCCTCCTCTGACTCCTCTGACTCCTCTGTTCTGCCTGGGTGCGGGGCGTGCACTTGTTGGATTCCAGCCTAACACCCCTGGTACTGTTTGTGGTTCTAGCTCAGGTGTGGCTAGATGTGTTTTTCTTGGCTTAATACTTCTGTTACTTTCTGATTTGTTACTTACCTCAGCTGTCTTGATCCTCAGTAGACATGCTGCTTGCTTTATCTGAAGTGCATTAGCGCTAGTGTGTAGCTCCAGCAAGTCTAGTTGAAAAACTAACAGAGTTAGGAAAGACCCAGTTTATCTTGATTCAGGTACATTAACTGAATAATTTTGCCAGTGGCAAAAGATAAATAAAATGAGATTCAAGAGTTCATTGCTGTAGTGACCTAACTAAAGCATTTAAGTTACCAGGGTAAAGCTAATTTGAGGTATCTTCCCATGTCACTCTTTGCAAATGCTTTATTCTCTAATGGCAGAGTTTACAACCAAGGAGAACTTAATGTGTATCTGTATAGCAGCCAGGTACAACTGGTTTTCACTAATGTCTGGATATTGAAAAAATACTTTCCCCTGGATGCTGCCTAAACTGGAAGGTGTTGTGGCCTTGCATGCCAATCTTAGTATTTAGAGTATCTGTAGTTGCCATAGAAAAGTATTTTGTATGCACTTCCATACAGTAAAGTCTTTTTCACAATCAGATGGAGGGTACAGTCTACAGTGAGTGTTGGTTTGTTGTGTTTTTTCACCCTATATGATGTAGAGCAGGATAGGTTGCTTGGTTTCTGGAACTCTCTTAAAAGGTGGCTTCTGAGAAGGAATGAACCTTTTGCATAATGTCTGAACTGCAGATGTTTGATAGTTTGGCAGAGACTGTTGAGGCTGTTGGTTTCTGCCTTTGCTTTGAGTAAAGGATAAAACTGACATGTCAAAATATCCCTTTTTATCCTTTAATGTAAAAGTGCTGCCGTTATCAAGCTCCAAATCTGACTGAAATCTACTGGATTTTATGCAGGCTGTTAAAATTTTTCTGAAGTGACCAGACAAAATTTAATAGTTCTCTAAGGTTATTTGCTGTGAATATAATTCTGGAATCCAGTACGTACAAGATGTCTGAGACTTCTCAGTCTTTATTTAGGTGAAAATAACATTTCTGTGGGACTTGAGAAGTGTTTGACAAGAGATTCTTGAACCCAGCTGAGCACTAAGCCACCAAAATATGTCAAGTAACACAGTAGAAGCCTTGTGTGCCTACACAGAGGCAAGTCTTTGTCTTTGGTTGGATAAATATCTCTTTCCACTCACAAATCTTAGCAGATAATCTAATTGTGGATTTCACAGTTGTGTTAACAGTGAAAAGTTAATGTTATGGGTTTGGGTTCCCCCCCACCTTAGGGGGAGAGAGAGGGATATGCACCCTAAGGGACTGTTTGTGTAAGTGTGGACAGAACTTCTGAGCAATAAACTTGTATAAAATCTATGAGGATAGATGGTAGGTCTGTATGTGCTGCCACAAAATGGACAGAACCTCTATGAAAAGGCATGTTTGCTTAGCTGTGTTTTGTTTCCATACATGCTTCTGTTTCACAGTTCTGGGAATGTGCTTACATTTAAAGAGTTTTTTCAAAACTTGAGAACTCTTGAGGAGGTTTAGATTCAAGTGCTTAGATGGAAAGGAAGTGCTTGTCTTTTATTCACTGGCTTCTTAAGAAATTGAGTTTGAAGAGCTGAAAATAAAAGAATTTCCCTTTTGTTAAGGCTGCTTGTGGCATAAAAATCTATTTTAATATTTCTTTCAAAACTCTTGATTTGTTTCTTGGGAAAATCAAAACCAAAGTTTTTTCAAATTTTTCAAATGCTTATTTGTATTTATTTCAAGTTGGATATACACTTATTGATGGAGACTCTGCCTGCCACTTTTGTCTAAATTTTGTGGGTTTAGTACCAAATTGGTAGTGATAATAACAGGTGTGTTATTGCACACAAATGTTAGTATTTTACAAAAATGTTACTGAGATTGTCTAATGGCATCTAAAAGCCTCACATCTCCCTTAAAAGAAATGCGGAATGTGTTTTCTTCTTTACCAATGATGCCTCATTTTCCAAGGCTTTTAAGATTACTTTGTTTTCTGAACTGCCTCTAGAATAGCAGTATTAGTAATTGAACTTGTTAGGGGAGGGTGATAGAAACCATAGAAATTGTGGCTAGAGTTTTGATCCTTAAATAGCTCGCCGATTAACTTTTTAATTCCTCTGATTACATTTAACTGAATGAAAAGAAATTTAGACCTGTAAATCTTTCCTTGTTATCGACACAATTGTGGTTAACATTAAGATAGTTAAAGGCTTAAGTGTGGAAGAGGTGGTTATTCTCTCTTTCATTTCTTGCATTTCGTAGGTGTAGCTTTGGGCCAAAAACATTGCACACTGTTTGCCTGACACCTGTGCAGGTGGAGACATTCCTGTCCTCTGGAATTACTACCACTCACCTTTCTGTCACCAGAGTGGTTTGTGTTGGCTGCCTATGTCAGAAATATGGCTGACTTAGCATAAGAAATGATAGAGTTTCAGAACACCTCGTGCTAATCATGTAGACCATAAATAAAAAGTGCCTAGAGAAGCAGTTGAGTTTCTTGGACAGTGATTTTCTGCAGGGAAGTGATGACTGCCCTACAACCATCTTAGTCCTGTCTGATGGAGCTGAAACCCGAGGATAAACTAATTTCTAGAAAATGGCTTGTCTTAGCTGGTGAACTGAGGAACAGATTCTCTTTATAGCATGTTGCAGCAAACTTAACACGTTTCTTTAAAATATGTTTAATTTCCTTAGCTTCTTGCTCTTACACCTTTGCTTTTTCTATGCTTTTCTTTGGTTTTTAACTAGAGAAAGTATACAGTACTTTGGTCAGGAGAAAGTGCTCATATTTTGCAAAGTTACCCCTCATTTTCTGTTTTTGAAAAAATGGACAAAGTAAGGCCTTAGTGAATGGCATTTTCTCAGCACTTGGCTTATTTTTTTCTTGTACCTTATCCAGTTCTCCCTTGATTTCTCCCTCTCCTTTACCCCCAAATATGGGCACTAGGACTGGATGCAGTAGCTTAATATCAGTTTCATCAATAAAACATGCATATAAAAGTAGATGAGCCTTTTTGTGCCTTTCTCTAGCATTACATTGGGATTTAACATTGAATTGACTGGGATGCCTAGATACATTTGATAACTATTATTCAACAACTGCCTTTTAGCATATGATGTAGTTTGATGGGTCTTGTTTCTGGACTTAGAAAAATGCATTTACTTATACTAAAGTGAAATAGAAGTGAAATAATTGAAGAATGGGTAAGTTGTATCTGTGGTCAGCTTGTGGGGCTGGTTTTGTCTCTTTTTTTTTTTTTTTTCCTTTTTTTATGGTGATCATAAAGGTTCTTCCATGTTTACTGGTCTTTCATTTTTCATAACTAAAATTTGGAAGCAAAATTTTTAGGGCTTTTTTCACTTATTTTCCTGTAGAAGGCTGTTGAGGGTACCATTTAAAGAAATGAACTTGCCATTGCAGCAATCTTGCATGCTTGACCAAATAAAACCTATTTTCTGAAACTGGTGTTGTGGGTATTAATTCTCAGTGCAACATTAATTCTGCCAATGCCTTCTTTATGCTCAGTATGTTACTCTCATTCCTATGGAAAAGGTACTTCACATTTAGCACTTTGGGGAGTTTTGTCATTGAATGAAAACCTTCCTTTCAGTCCTTTCCTGCCCTCTTGCAGGGCTTAGAGCTTCAGGAAAAGAATCTCCAACTACTTGTGTTGCCTCAGAAGAGCAGAGTAAGTTGAGAGCAGCGTTTTGTTATTTTTCCACAAACTGACAACAGGAAGACAAAGAGTTTATAGCAACTCTGAGTGCGGATATAATAAGTTTTGTGTATTTCGTTTATGATAAGTGGAGAGACTCCTTACTTTTGGTATTAAGCTGCAAGTTTTATTTTAAACCTATAGGAAATGTTTTCCTCTTGTCCTCCAATGCTTTGTCCTTTTGGTGTGTGCAAGAGTTTTGATTATTTTACATCCTGTGTATGTTACATTTTACTTTTCTACATGAAATGTTCTTTATATTACAAGCTTTTCAGAGGTTTTTTTTTAAGTAATATTTTCATCGTTTATGAAAATATTATACCATTTGTTTATGCAATTTATGTTGCATTATTAGTAAATTCTTTCTTGGGTGGGGGATACAACTGTGGAGCATAAGAAAATGCCTTGCAGTTGTTATTACCACCTTGATGAAGTCGGAATGTTGTCTTTAGTATACCTGAGGAAAATATCAGAGGAAGTAGTTTTCCTCTGTGTTTGCAAAGCAGTGAGTTGGGCCACGTGAGTCTTGCCCATTTTTTGTGATGTGGCAGACAGATTAAAAGGAAATCTGGAGAAGAAGAGGTTACATAAGATATGTAAGAACTTGTTACGTACAGTGATGGGAGTACAATTGGAAATGTAGCCAACTGAGTTCTGGCATATGTTTTCATTGATTTTCTGCTCCAATTGCCTGCTGTGACCGTAACTCCTACATATCCAATCAGTCTTGTAAAACTTTATTATGAACCCACAGTGATAGATGATGGCAACTGAAAAACATGAAATGTTGTTATATTTAAATTTAGAATAATCACCTCCTGCTTTGGAAATGATCTGGCTTGACTCTTCGGCTATTCTAGAAACGTACTGTCTGATTTGATCAAAATGTTTAAGTTTAATGCAGAATTAGGGTTTCAGAGCAGTTTCCAGTAAGTCAAATTTGAAATTATATACAGCTGTTTGAAAAAATATAACTCATTAATTTCATGCAGAACAGAGAGCTAGTTGTTAAATCCCATTGAATATCCAACTAAATGCTTTCACTTAATTGTCCACCTTCATAATACTTCAGAACGTGCAGAGTACAGTTTAGGAAAAAATATAGAAATATTACATGCAGCATGTTGTAAGTTCTGTTAATGTTTCATGCAACTTACTCTTGAAATTAAGAAATAACTATCCAGCTTCAAAATGTATTTACCAGTTTATTTGGTACAGCTGAGAGTATATGAAACCATTTCATTTACACAGTATAAAGTTCCCATAGAGCCTAAAAGCTATGTGACAAATACAGAAGTTTTTATCTAATGCTGTGTGGATTGATGCTGTTTCAAAATATGGAAAGTAGTATTTTTTATTGTTTAAATACTTCTAGCTCTGTACGGCTAAAAAATTAAATGCTTCAGAATTTTTTCGGAAACATCTACATTGCTTATTAAAAGATGGCTTCAAACACAACAGCTCTAAGAAACTATAAAGAGAAAAGGGGAGTTGATAGTTAAAGTTATTGCATACTAGTTATAATGAAGGATTTTAATTTCTGAACTTGGAAAAAAGGGGAGCAGGTCACATTTCTTACTCCTATATGTGTCTGGATGGCAATGAGAAGAAAGGAATGCGAATGGCTGCATAACTTTTTGAAAGCAACACAAACCAACTTAACTTGATGGGTAGTAATAGGGTAGATTCCAGATTCTATGAGAGAAGGTGGGAAACATGCTGTGTGTGTTTTTGTCAACATAACTTGAAACAGTGGGGATTTCATCCTTGTCCGACTTGTTAGAGCTGTCACCACGCGGACTGAAATGTTCAGGACAATTTGTATTCCATGCATCTGCCAGCTGCTCTGGTTGGTTTTCTCTCTCAGTGGTGGTGAGAAAATCTTTTAAAACTTGCTTGAATATGTAGACTATTTCCCAGGGTAAGACATCATTTTCTGCCAAAACTTCACGAAATCTAGAAATGAACAAAAACTGAAATCTAATCATCAGCGCTGAAAACTCTTTTGTTTCCTCTCTGGTCACTGGAGGGGGGAAGGAGGAAATTACTGCATGCTGGTGCTATTTTTTCCTTGCTGCCACGTTTCCCCACACACCTCCCCCAGAAGATTGTGAGAGGAAAAGAGCTCTAACAATGTACTGGATGTGCTCCAGCTATTATGAGGATTGTAAGTGGTTGTTACTGGGTATGCTTTTCTTTTTTCCTTTTTTTTTTTTTTGGCCCATCTGGGTAACTTGATTTAAACTGACTTTGCCCTTAGGTATATTCTGGGCTTTAAAAGGAGCTTGTTCTGTTGTATCTGTGAGTCCCTAGAAAATGTATTAAAATACAGGCATAGGAGAATTTTTCTTTGTAAAATGTGCGTGGGAGATTTTTTTTTTAAATCGGAAATTTTTTTTACACTGATTTGCTAGTTTTAGAAGCTTTCAGGTATTTTGGACAGTAAAGCTGGATTTTTTTGCATAATAGTGCATTGCATTAGTCCTTTGACTTTTGGTTATTGGGTTACTATTTTATAAATATTGGGGAGAAATAACAGAGGAAAAACTGGAAGTATCGAAAGGTCATATAAGACTTCTCTCGTTTGGATTAGACCAGGAAAATCCTGATTTAAAACTTCCTTCAAGTACAACATATTAAAGTGAAGATGTAATTTATAGAACACCTGCAAAAATGCATTCCAGTTACTGGTCACTGCTACTTCTGGAGATTAGAGCCAAATACTAACTTCAACTAGGTAGAAAAACATATTAACTTTTTATAGAGTACTCAGAGTTAGGGAAATACGAAACAATTACCTGCTGAGAACAGTTCCTGTTTGGCAAGGCTGGATTTGTGAACACAGAACTTCGAGTTGCCGTTGCTCAGTAGCTGGAATTGTTGCTTGAGGGTTCTGGTAGTTCTTGAGCCAGTTGTAATCCATGCCAGTCTTCTGGACTTTTTGTTCGTTTTCGATCTCTTGCACGAATCTTTCACGCTCTTTCAGGTGCCATTTCAACTCCCTCAGCAGGGTTTTTGTAACAACTTCTGATCCAGGGCATCTCGTGGGCTTGTAGGAATCAGTTTTTGACCATTTCATCCAGCCAAAAAGTGGCATTTTTAAGCTGAGAGGGGGGAAAAAAAAATTGGTTGTTTCTGTCTGACCGATTAGTTCTTTTTACCTGTAGACTTCCTTCTTAGCAACTGCATGTCTGAATGAAAATTTATTAATGGTGCTGAACTCGCTTGCGGTACAATAAAAGTCGTGATAACAACAATCACCAAGCCATAATGAAATCTGACAAGCCTTACACTTTATAAAATTTCCCGTTTGTTTTCTGAGTTAAAATACTACATGAAGTTTGCAGCATTTAAAAGTGCATATCTGTCATCTCGGAAATATTTCATTTTTTATCCTATAGTATATATGGTTAAAAAAAGAAAAAAGAAACCCCAGGGAACTGTTTCCCCTCTAACAAGCACACCAAAAAACCACCAACCTCACAAAATACCCAAAACCAATCAAACGTCCCCCTCCCCCAACAAAACAGAAAACCCCAAACCTCCAAAATTTGAAGTTACATTTACATTTAAAGATTATACTAATTAATAAAGTTAAGTGCTGGAACTCTGCATGATCTGTTTTTACAACCTCTGTATCAATTTATATTTTAAATATTTTAAATAAATTATTGTTCACATAACCTGGAATCAGAAATCTGGTGGAGTAGACTTTTAAATGGCAGTTTGTAAGAAATCATGCAGACACAAGCGTGCAAATTGGAGTAAAATAACATAAATTACCTTTGCAGCTGTCTGTGAAAAGTGTTGTTTCAGGTCACTTTGCTTGAAGGTCTCTTATTCTAGCATGTCCTATTTGCAGGTTGTTACTACTGCTGGAAGAAAACAAGCGTTTTTTTCTCTTTTTCTTTTTTTTTCTTTTTTTTTTTCATTTACTCAAACTGTGCTTAGAAAAAATTACTTTCTGTACTGAATATGACAGTTTAAGTTTTTCTGCTTTTAAGGTTCTTTTTCATCCTCTGTATCAGAGAGAAGCAGTAATCCATTTAACCTAGCATGGTCTCTCAAATACTTTCTACCAAGTCCATTAAGATCTCCTACCTTTGAATTGAGTTCTGCCGGTGGCAGCAATTTAAAAAAAGATGGTGACAATTTCAAATGCTTGTTGCTAAATCCATCCAAAGGTATTGTTGGTAGTGAGATGAATAATGATAGTCTGAAGCAACTACAGCCCTGCTTGTAGCTAAAGTTAAGGCTGTCGTGTGATGTGATGCTTGGCTGTGCATAGCTGTAGGTCACAGTTTAGAGCTGTATTTTTATGCCTGTAGAGTGCTAAAAATAACTACATTGCTTTTATCATCAAACTAAACTTTCAGGCCATTGAGATGCTGGAAGACTTATCTCCCATTAGAGGGGGATCAGGCTGTTCTGCTGTCATTTTTAAACAGCTAAGAATAGTTTTTCTCTAGTAAAGATCATCTAAAGCTTTTGTTAAGTGAGTGTTGACAGAAGAGAAGTATTTGACAGTTGCTCAGGATTTTGTTGCTGCATTAAATGCTTCTTCCAGATGAATTTCATCAATCTCACGCTACTGTACTTTTTCATTACTGTGCATTGCTGTTAGCATTTTAAATTAACATTCCAAATGCGTTTAAAGAAGCAAGGCTGCAACACCTCCAGCGCTCCACAAAAGACACGTTAATCTAATTAAAGGAATAGAATGATAAAAAGATACAAATTGAGGTCAAACTGATCCAAAAAGCCCAGAATTGTAGGTCTTACCACAGACATTGCCTCTGTCTCAACTGGCTGTCAGTTGCCTGCTCCCTCCTTTCTTGATGAATATTTTGAGCATATCTGTTGTTAAGGTTCATTCTCAGGGCTGGCAATGTGCACACCAAAGGTCGCTGAAGCAGCCATTTTCCGTTCCAGTTATCTGGTCTCTTCCTATTAATCTAAATAGTAGCCATGGAATGCGAAATGCTGCCTCTCCATCTCGCTCTTGTTCTAATGACTGTCTTTGCTTCCCCTAAGTATTTTTCATTCCTACCTTTTTTTCCCTCCACTGGTGTGTTGAACTGTTGGGAGAACAAAGGTTCTGTAAATTTGTTCTAGATGTCATACAACATAAAGGATGACGTGTATGGCTGTTATTAAAGCTGATATTACTTATACATTGGAAAAATTCAAATGTCAGTATTAATCCTCTTCAACTGGAAGGTTTTCACATTGCATTGTATGTGGTACTATGAAAAAGGAAGGGAGCTAGGTTTATGATGACAGAACTGTCCTGACAGATTTTCAGATGAAATTAAAATGCTCCTTGCCACCTCCTTTACAGCACAGTTAACACGTCACCACTTTTTTCCACTATATCAATCTTCAAGTAAACTGCTGTACAATATAAAACCATAATAGTGTCTTTGCAAATTAGAGATGCATACTGGAAGGTCTGCAAAGTAATTAAATGAGAAACCTACAACTTTTATTTTTTAACCTAATATTTGGTTGCATCATCGAAAATGCAAGGCAGGATGCTGAGAATTATGTTTATCTTTCCATTGGTAGAACACTAAAGTTGAAAATGAATATTGCTTCTTCTTGTGCAGGCATTTCAGGTGTGTATTCAGGAAGAGGTGGCTGCTCATGTGTGGCTGGTGTTGGAAACTGGACTTGAAAGTAGAGCAGTATTTTATGCTGTTTCTAGCCCCTGTTTATTCCTAGGAGCTTTGGGGAATTAGCATTCCATCCAGCTATCCCTGAATGTACTCATGGATCTGCAGTGCTGTGTCAGGGTGGAAGTTTTGGCTTGACTTTAGCTGATAGTGGGTCTGTTCCCTGAAGGCACTTCAGAGTTTGTCTTTATTAGTAACTTAGTTAATAATGTCATAATGCCCAGCTCTGTGCATCCCCAGTCAGAATAATGAGCATACCCTGGTGCATGTGGCAGAACAGTTCCTACGGTCATGGGCTCGGTTTATTCTGTTGTTTTCTTCTACCCTGAAAATAAATTACATATGAGGCACAGTTCTATTTTGTGCTTGATTTTTTTCAAGGCATGTTTAAGGAGTTAGTTATTCTTACTTGTCTGAGTGGAAGGGAGTGTCAGTGTGGTGTGGTACCTGTCATGTTAAAAGAATTCTTCCTAAGGTAGTGTTTGCACCCATGGGGATGGTTCCGTTTTGGGTATGGTTTGTGCTGAAGAGCTGCAGCTAAACCCAGCATTTGCTGGAAGAACCCTCATTTTCAGAGTGGTTTGGTTCTGCTGTGTGGGTGACTTGGTGTGAAGGTGTGGAAGTCCAGTTCGTGGCTCTAATCATTAACCTGAAAAAGTCTGGTACTGAAAATTTCATCTATTCTAGCAGTCCCTCTCTCGTCTCTTCCTGCTTGACATCGCAGTTGTGAGGGGGAGCTTAACAATTAAGGTAGAAGTTAGAAGTAGTGCTTACTTTTAAAATTGTTCAGGATTAAAACTTCTTGAATCTCTCCTTGTCAATACTCTTAAAGCTCCTAGTTGGTAACAGACTAAGTTCTGTGGGGAAGGCATAGCATAGCTACAGAGTAAGAATATTTATGTACACTTATGAGTACAGCAGACAACATATAGAATTAAATAGTTGAAACGTACCACAGGGAAAGGGGATGCATGTTTTGAGGGTGCTGAATATGCCTGGATTTTATCCTTTTTGTTGCAATAGTAAAGCATAACTCCAAAGAAGTACTTTAAGAATAACAGCGAGGTGGTTTTGTGCATGTTCACAGGAGATGTCCTCTAGTATAAATAGTATCATTAGAGATGAATGAATTCTTGCTTGAAAATCATCATGAATAATGTTAATACCGGCTACTTTAGAAGTGCGGCCGTTTATGGCAAGGTAATGTTTCTTGGCTAAAAAGAGGTGACAGAAAATGTTTATTTTACCACTGATGCTTTTTGAAATATCTTGAAAGCTTTCTTAAAAAAAAAACAAACAAGCAAACCAACTAAATAAAATAATGTCTTTAGCACAGGAAATGTAGGTATTTGCATGATATGTGGCTAAGTAAATTTTACATTCTGATTACGACTTTCAACACTACAATAATAAATAATTTGCTGTAATGATATGCAGAAGGCATATCTTGAAACAGCCTTGTCATTTTTGCAAAATCTGAAATTCTCACAAAGAAGAAATGTTCTCTAGGGATCAGCTGTTTTTCCAAGTGTGGTGTTTTCTTCTGAAAAAGTATTGTTCTGTAACTGTATTCTGGGACAAAAAAAAGCTGCAAATCCAAGTCACCTCTGAATACAGCAAGACTTTAGTCTTAAGACATGTGCCTTAACATCACATACATAAAGGAACTCCCTGAACTGGCAACCAGGTCCTGTAATAAATAAGGCAATCTGGTTAAATGTGGGGCTGTGCTACTATGCCTGTCTGTAAGGACTACAAATTCAGTACTTATTTGTACTGATTGAGTGTGCTGTTGGACAACATGCTATTTTTCTGAGAGAAAGCCAGTTTGAGGAGAAGTTGGTGCTGAACAGCAGTTCATTCCAAGCCACTTCCATTTAACTGAACACTGCACAGATTTGAGGAACAAGGTGTGATAAATGGAGAGAATAGGTGAAGGAGAAGCTTCTTATTCTTTTCTTCGGAAAATTTTATGGCATCTGTACCATCTGAGGTGCTGCTTACTCTTGTAATTGAAAAGGGCAAGAAGTATAGCTTTCTTTATGAATGAGACTCAATGACACACTGAGAAATGATCAACCTAATTCTTATTTGACCGAAAGTGCTGATAGCAGGTCATAACCATAGCTAGCGAGCTAACATTTCAGCACATTGTTGCAGCGGTGGATGTTCCATAATTCTTTGCTAGTATCTTGATAATAGCCACATCCTGTGATTTGCTGCTGTGGATTTTGTGTGAAGGGCTGATGAATCTTGTGGGTTAAGCCTGATAGGCACCTAAGAGCTATGCAGCCCCTCACTCTACTCCCTGCTGACCCTCAATGGGATAGAGGCTAAGGAATGGAAGAACAAAAGAAAAAAAACTTGGGTTCAAGATAAAAAGCTGTTTAAGAAGGGGAAGAAGAGAGAAAGAAAACAAAAG